CCCCCCCCCCCCTCCGCGCCCGCCCGCCCTGCGGGCTCGCGCATGTTCACCCGCAGTAGCTCTAGCCAGGTGTGGGGCGGGGGGAGGGAATTAACGAGGGAGCTCCGGGTGCATGGTCACGCCATGGCACTGGGATTTGGTCGACCTGGCGTGACGGTGGCCGTGTCTCCCTCTCAAGCCTCTCGAGTGGCCCCCAGGGAGAACCCCGCGTATGTCCGGTTCACGCCCGGGCAGGGGAAGGGGGGGCCGGGCAGAGCGTGCACTCTCCAGCGGGGAAGACACGGCCTTGGGGGCAGGGCACTAGCCGGGCCGCGACCGAACGCGCGCGCACGCGCGCGCGCGCACACACCGCGCGGATCAGCCTAGGCTACCTGCCCCCCTCGGGCTTGGGGTGCTTTCCCGAGCCACACCACCGCGACCACGAAGTCCCGCCCGGCCGAAAGCCACAGGCAACGACGCCTTCGCGTCCGGGTGGTGCCCTGGAGCTCGACCGACGCCCACAGGGGGTTGGTCCAGCGCCAGGACCGCGGCAGACAGGGAGGCGGGGGGGGGGGGGGGGGCGGCTTACTTTCACGCTTGTTGGGGCCACTCCCAAGGGCGGTCGCGAGGTCGGGGACAGTCAGGACCTTGTCCAGCTTGTCTGGGCCGGGTGGGAAACCCGGGGAGCAGGCCGGCCGACGTCCGGGCTCGGGATGGCCTCCAGGGGAGGGGGAAGTTTCGCGCAATTTTGGACGCCACACGCCGGGCGCCTCCAGGCGCCCCGCTCCCAGACGCGGCCGATGGTCCTGCGGGGCGAATTCCGGCCATGTCAACCACCCGGGCGATTTATCCTTTCCACCACAGGACCACCACCACCACCCGGGGCGGGGGCCTTAGAGGAGAGCGCGGGCAACGCGAGCACCGGAGTTGGCCTCGCCCATGTCCAGGGGGGAGGGGGGGAGGGGGGCGAAAAGATGCGCGCCTGAAATCCAGTGCTAGGCGTGGCTTCAACTGCCACCCGACCGAATGTGGCGCCGGAGACCGGCCCGCGGCGCGCGTCCCATCGTCGTCCATGTTTCGGGCAGGCAGAGGGCATTGACGAGCAGCGCCAGGGTGGTCCGACGCCCCGGGTGGCCGGTGAGCGGTGCCCCGAGCGCGGCCGAAGCGGGGGCAGGCATCGGGGCCGAGGGGGGGGGGGGGGTCACCGGGGCTCGCTGGTCCAGCTGGCGACCGGGCGGGGCTGCCTCGGGACAAGCGGCGGCCCCGAACCCCCCGATGCGTGTCGCGGACCCGGGGGTGGGCGCGAAAAGTGAAAAAAAAAAAAAAAGAAAGGGGAAAATGCTCGGGACCCCTCTGCGCCAGGGTAGCAGCCGATCTAAAAGCGAATTTTGACCCCTCCCGCCCCCGAGGGCTGGCTAACACCCGGAGGCGGTCGTTGCCTGGACGAAAGCGGCGTTGGATCCGGGGCAGTTAAGGGGAATACCATTGGACCCTCTCCCGCCAAAGTGCGGGAGTGGGGTTGGCACATGGACATACATCGGCATATGGCTCGGCCTTTGGTCTTCAGCGCCGCGGGCGCTGCATGCTGCCACCGGTCGGCTCGCTCATCTGTACCGCCGGCTGGTGGTCTGCTGTTGGAGAACTGCCCGAGGCTCTGATCGATCTCGCCCCTGCCGACCCTTCACCCTGTTAGCGGCCTGCCGGCGCGTCCCATCGAAACGGTGGCGCCCTCGGGTGGATTCATGTGCGCGCGCGGCCATTCACACATGCTGACATTCAAAACGGCCACCGAGACGCCGGCCGGTGGAGACTGCCCATGTCTGCCGGGTGCAAGGGACACTCTGGTTGCAACGGCGGTCGTGGATGGCCGGGACCTTGGGCGAGCGGCGGCGGCAGCGGCGGCGGCGGCCGGGGTTGCCACGTGTGCTCTTCCGATCTACATGCTGACATTCAAAACGGCCACCGAGACGCCGGCCGGTGGAGACTGCCCATGTCTGCCGGGTGCAAGGGACACTCTGGTTGCAACGGCGGTCGTGGATGGCCGGGACCTTGGGCGAGCGGCGGCGGCAGCGGCGGCGGCGGCCGGGGTTGCATGTTTCCGCCCTCCTGCTCGCGGCCGGCCGGCAGGGAGGGAGTTGCTCGGCGCTGACGAGAGGCACCGGGGGCCTCCCATGCGTGGTCTAGTCTCTACCCCCGGAGCCAGGATCGACCGGCTTCCCTCGGGGCCGTCTGGAGCGCGGAAAATGAACCCGCTGGAGGGAGGCAAGGAGAGAGGGGACTGACGAGAGGCACCGGGGGCCTCCCATGCGTGGTCTAGTCTCTACCCCCGGAGCCAGGATCGACCGGCTTCCCTCGGGGCCGTCTGGAGCGCGGAAAATGAACCCGCTGGAGGGAGGCAAGGAGAGAGGGGAAGGAGCCCCCCCCCCCCCCCCCCTGGAGGTGACTTCCTATAAATGGAGGGCTCTCGTTGGAAATCCCCGAAGGTGGGGGCATTCATCCATTCCCCCCCCCCCCCCCCCGCTTTTTTTTCGTGCTCCTTTCCCCTTGCCGCGCATGTCCAGCCCCACCTTGCCTGCTTGAGATTGCCTCCGCTTCCCCCGACCCGGCGTCGATCGTTCTTTTCCCTCGCGCCCGGCACCGCCCCCCTTCCTGTGCCCCTCGCTGCCGGGCTGCGTCCTTCTCCCCTCCCGCCTCTCCCTCTCTCAGTCTCCGCTCCTTGACCTCCGGTCGGCCACCACAGCCATGTCGTCAAAGTGCGCACACACACACACACACACTGGCACCGACCCTCCTCCCTCCCGGTCCCCGCCCTCTCGCAATCTCTCCCCCTGTCAGCATCTGGGTGCTGCTTGCTTCTCATCTGTACTGACCCCCGCCGGGGCTTCTAGGCTCGAACGTCTCTTCCACCTGCTGGAAGACCAGCGCTCCACGCCGGCCGTCCGACGTGCGGCCGCACGCCAGCTTGGCGAGGTCCAGCGTCGCCACCCGCACGAGCTGCGCTACCTCATTCGCCGGGTGCGTGCATCTCCGCGCGTCGCGGCCTCTTCCCTTCCCTCACCTTGCCCCGGTCTTGGCCCGGCTCTGGCTTTGGACTGACCCGGCTCCCTTCTTGCCGGCGTGCCCCCTTCTTGTTGCTTTTCTTCCTCCGGCTCTCGAACCCGCCCCCCCCAGCTTCACCCCCTTCTGCGATCCCCCCAGTGGGATGCACGCATTGCAGCCGGGCTGGCCCTGGCCGAGGTGGCCAGTGCCGTGCCCCAGGCGCCGGCCGCCCAGCCACTGGCCATGCGCCGGCGCCGCGCGGCCGCCCGCGTCATCCAGGAGTCGCTGGCCGCCTCGCAAGCCGCCTCGCTGGCTGACAGCCGGGTCCCGGAGGGCGCGTCGACCGGCGCGGCTCCGGCCACGACGCTGCCCTACTCGGCCACCGTGCTGGCGGATGGCGAATCGGACGACGAGGCTGACCATGCGTCGGCGGCCATCTTGACCGCCTCGGCCGGTTCGGCCGCTGACACCACCGACGGCCCTGCCCCCATCAAGTCCGATCCCGATGTCGACGAGGAGGCCGAGTCCGGGGCGTCCATTCAGCGGCTGAACTTCCGGACCTTCGACTTTGCCCGGGTCCTTCGCCATGGCCAGGCCCTGGGCAGCTCCTCCGGCGTCGAGTATGAGGTTGACTGGTCGCGGTTGAATTCGCGCGAGCGCCTGGCCGTCCAGCGCCAGCAGCTCATCCGGCTGAACTTGTGCGATGCCGCGGCCCTGGGCGCGGATCCCAACGTGACCGAGCTCATCTTTGACCGGCGGCTGATTCGCGACCGAGACCTGCTGGCACAGGCGAAGCTCGGCGCGGCGGCGGCGGCCGCCGCCGCCGCCGTCAAAGCCGAGGACGCCTCCTCGAATGAGGGCGCCGTGGAGGGGGTCCTCCGAGGCACGGCGCAGTTGAGCGCACGCGAGCGCCAACGCCAGCGTCTGGCCGAGCGAACCAAGTCCCGGCAGGCGGCCTCGGCCAGTGCCTCGGGCACCGTGGCCGTCCAGGTCACCGACGCCATGGCCGGAGCCGGTGGCGACCTCTCCTCGACCATCGGCCAGGAGGAGACCCCCCTCGGGCCGGACGGCGCAGCCGGCCCGGCGGCCGGGCTTGAGCACGATCCCTTCGGCTCGGAGTGGCCCTTTGCCGAGTTCTTCGAAATCCTGTGCCACGATCTGTTCGACCAGTCGTGGGAGGTCCGCCATGGGGCGTCGATCGGCCTGCGCGAGCTGCTCAAAGCCCACGGCGCCGGGCTGGGGCTTCCCCATGGGACCCAGGCCGAGGCCGGGGCCGCGCCCTCGCTTGGGGCCCTGTCGCGCGTGCACTCCGAGCACCTGGACGACGCGGCCATCCGCCTGCTGTGTCTGCTGGTCTTGGACCGCTTCGCGGACTATGTGGAGGCCGAGCGGGCCGTGGCCCCGGTCCGCGAGACCGCGGCCCAAGCCCTCGGGGCGCTGGTCAGCGTGGCCGGCGTCGGGACCGTGTCGCGTGTCTGGCATGCGGTGTCCGTCATCTCCGAGCAATCGTCGCTGGTGGGGCAAGTGGCGCCCTCTGTGGCCCCTGGCGATGATGCTGGTCGTGACAGCTGGCATGTGCGCCTCGGGGCCTACCTCGGCCTGCGCTATGTGGTGGCCATCCGCCCGGATCTGGGCCCGGTCACCGTGCCGATGGTCATGCCCATCGTGCTGAATGGGTGCGAGACTTGCTGTGCTTGTTTCTTCTCGCTCGCTTCCTTTCCTTTTTCCGCCTCGCCTCTCCTCGCCTGGCCTCCCCCCTGACCAGCCCTCCTGCTCGTGCCGGCGCCGCAACGGCGGGTGTTCCCGTCTCCGCCAATGTCCCCCCCCCCTCCCCC